CTATCCCTCATTTTGATATGCACTTCCGTTTCACCCGTCACGGTTTCCGTCCCCTTTCCCTCATTTTGATATGAACTTCCGTTCCACCCGTCATGGTTTTCGCCCCCTTTCCCTCATTTTGATATGCACTTCTTTTCCACCCGTTAAGGTTTTCCTCGCCCTTACATTATTTTGTTATGCACTTCCGTTCCACCCGTTATGGTTTTCGTCCTCGTTCCCTCATTTTGATATGCACTTCCTTTCCACCCAACATGATTTTCCTCGCTTTTCCCTCATTTTGTTATGCACTTCCGTTCCACCCGTTATGGTTTTCGTCCCCTTTCCGTCATTTTGATATGTACTTCCGTTCCACCCGTCAAGGTTTTCGTCCCTTTTCCCTCATTTTGATTTGTACTTCTTTTCCTCCCGTTTTGATTTTCGCCCACTTTCCCTCATTTTGATATGCACTTCCTTTCCACCCGTCATGGTTTTCGTCCTTTTACCTCATTTTGATATGCGCTTCTTTTCCACCTATTTTGATTTTCGCCCCCTTTCCCTCATTTTGATATGCACTTCCTTTCCACCCGTTATGGTTTTCGTCCCCTTTCCCTCATTTTGATATTCATTTCCTTTCCACCCGTTATGCTTTCCGTCCCCTTTCCCTCATTTTTATATGCACTTCCTTTCCACCCGTCATGGTTTTCGTCCCCTTTCCCTCATTTGGATATGCACTTCCGTTCCACCCGTCATGGTTTTCGTCCCCATTCCCTCATTTTGATATGCACTTCCGTTCCACCCGTCATAGTTTTCGTCCACTTTCCCTCATTTTGATATGCACTTCCGTTTCACCCGTCACGGTTTCCGTCCCCTTTCCCTCATTTTGATATGAACTTCCGTTCCACCCGTCATGGTTTTCGCCCCCTTTCCCTCATTTTGATATGCACTTCTTTTCCACCCGTTAAGGTTTTCCTCGCCCTTCCATTATTTTGTTATGCACTTCCGTTCCACCCGTTATGGTTTTCGTCCTCGTTCCCTCATTTTGATATGCACTTCCTTTCCACCCAACATGATTTTCCTCGCTTTTCCCTCATTTTGTTATGCACTTCCGTTCCACCCGTTATGGTTTTCGTCCCCTTTCCGTCATTTTGATATGTACTTCCGTTCCACCCGTCAAGGTTTTCGTCCCTTTTCCCTCATTTTGATTTGTACTTCTTTTCCTCCCGTTTTGATTTTCGCCCACTTTCCCTCATTTTGATATGCACTTCCTTTCCACCCGTCATGGTTTTCGTCCTTTTACCTCATTTTGATATGCGCTTCTTTTCCACCTATTTTGATTTTCGCCCCCTTTCCCTCATTTGTTATGCACTTCCGTTCCACCCGTTATGGTTTTCGTCCCCGTTCCCTCATTTTGATATGCACTTCTTTTCCACCCAACATGCTTTTCGTCCCCTTTCCCTCATTTTGATATGCACTTCCGTTCCACCCGTCAAGGTTTTCGTCCTTTTTCCCTCATTTTGATATGTACTTCTTTTCCACCCGTTTTGATTTCCGACCCCTTTCCCCCATTTTGATATGTACTTCCTTTCTACCCGTTATGGTTTTCGCCCCCTTTCCCTCATTTTGATATGCACTTCCTTTCCACCTGTTTTGATTTCCGTCCCCTTTCCCTCATTTTGATATGCACTTCCTTTCCACCGTTTTGATTTTCGTCCCCTTTCCCTTATTTTGATATGTATATCCTTTCCACCCGTCATCGTTTTCGTCCTTTTCCCACATTTTGATATGCGCTTCTTTTCCACCTACTTTGATTTTCGCCCCCTTTCCCTCATTTTGATATGCACTTGCTTTCCACCCGTTATGGTTTTCGTCCCCTTTCCCTCATTTTGCTATTCATTTCCTTTCCACCCGTTATGCTTTCCGTCCCATTTCCCTCATTTTTATATGCACTTCCTTTCCACCCGTCATGGTTTTCGTCCCCTTTCCCTCATTTGGATATGCACTTCCGTTCCACCGTTATGTTTTTCGTCCCCATTCCCTTATTTTGATATGCACTTCCGTTCCACCCGTCATGGTTTTCGTCCACTTTCCCTCATTTTGATATGCACTTCCGTTTCACCCGTCATGGTTTCCGTCCCCTTTCCCTCATTTTGATATGAACTTCCGTTCCACCCGTCATGGTTTTCGCCCCCTTTACCTCATTTTGATATGCACTTCTTTTCCACCCGTTATGGTTTTCCTCGCCTTTCCATCATTTTCTTATGCACTTCCGTTCCACCCGTTATGGTTTTCGTCCCCGTTCCCTCATTTTGATATGCACTTCCTTTCCACCCAACATGATTTTCCTCGCCTTTCCCTCATTTTGTTATGCACTTCCGTTCCACCCGTTATGGTTTTCGTGCCCTTTCCGTCATTTTGATATGCACTTCCGTTCCACCCGTCAAGGTTTTCGTCCCTTTTCCCTCATTTTGATATGTACTTCTTTTCCTCCCGTTTTGATTTTCGCCCACTTTCCCTCATTTTGATATGCACTTCCATTCCATCCGTCATGGTTTCCGTCCCCTTTCCCACATTTTGATATGAACTTCCGTTCCACCCGTTATGGTTTTCGTCCCCTTTCCCTCAATTTGATATTCATTTCCTTTCCACCCGTTATGCTTTCCGTCCCCTTTCCCTCATTTTTATATGCACTTCCTTTCCACCCGTCATGGTTTTCATCCCCTTTCCCTCATTTGGATATGCACTTCCGTTCCACCCGTTATGGATTTCGTCCCCATTCCCTCATTTTGATATGCATTTCCGTTCCACCCGTCATGGTTTTCGTCCACTTTCCCTCATTTTGATATGCACTTCCGTTTCACCCGTCATGGTTTCTGTTCCCTTTCCCTCATTTTGATATGAACTTCCGTTCCACCCGTCATGGTTTTCGCCCTCTTTCCCTCATTTTGATATGCACTTCCTTTCCACCCGTTATGGTTTTCCTCCCTTTTCCCTCATTTTGATATGCACTTCCGTTTCACCCGTCATGGTTTCTGTCCCCTTTCTCTCATTTTGATATGAACTTCCGTTCCACCCGTCATGGTTCCGTCCCCTTTCCCTCATTTTGATATGAACTTCCGTTCCACCCGTCATGGTTTTTTCCCCATTCCTCATTTTGATATGCTTCCACTTCTTTACTTTTTCCACCCGTTATGACCCGTTTTCCTCCTTTCCATCATTTTGTTATGCACTTCCGTTCCACCCGTTATGGTTTTCCTCGCGTTTCCCTCATTTTGTTATGCACTTCCGTTCCACCCTTTATGGTTTTCGTCCCCGTTCCCTCATTTTGTTATGCACTTCCTTTCCACCCAACATGGTTTTCCTCGCCTTTCCCTCATTTTGTTATGCACTTCCGTTCCACGCGTTATGGTTTTCGTGCCCTTTCCCTCATTTTGATATGCACTTCCTTTCCACCTGTCATGGTTTTCGTCCCTTTTCCCTCATTTTGATATACGCTTTTTTTCCACCCATTTTGATTTTCGCCCCCTTTACCTCATTTTGATATGCACTTCCTTTCCACCCGTTATGGTTTTCTCCCCCTTTCCCTCATTTTGATTTGGACATCCTTTCTACCCGTCATGGTTTTCGTCCCCTTTCCCTCATTTTGATATGCACTTCCGTTCCACCCGTTATGGTTTTCGTCCCTTTCCCTCATTTTGATATGTACTTACGTTCCACCCGTCATGGTTTTCGTCCCCTTTCTCTCATTTTGATATGCACTTCCGTTCCACCCGTCATGGTTTTCGTCCCCTTTCCCTCATTTTGATATGAACTTCCGTTCCACCTGTCATGGTTTTCGTCCCCTTTCCCTCATTTTGATATGCACTTCTGTTCCACCCGTTAAGATTTTCGTCTCCGTTCCCTCATTTTGTTATGCACTTCTGTTCCACCCGTCATGGTTTTCGTCCCCTTTCCCTCATTTTGATATGCACTTCCTTTCCACCCGTCATGGTCTTCGTCCCTTTTCCCTCATTTTGATATACGCTTCTTTTCCACCCATTTTGATTTTCGCCCCCTTTACCCCATTACGATATGCACTTCCTTTCCACCCGTTATGGTTTTTGCCCCCTTTCCCTCACTTTGATATGCACTTCCTTTCCACCCGTTATGGATTCCGTCCACTTTCCCTCATTTTGATATGCACTTTCTTTACACCCGTTATGGTTTTCGTCCCCTTTCCCTCATGTTGATATGCACTTCTGTTCCACCGTTATGGTTTTCGTCCCCTTTCCCTCATTTTGATATGCATTTCTGTTTCACCCGTCATGGTTTTCGTCCCCTTTCCCTCATTTTGATATGAACTTCCGTTCCACCCGTCATGGTTTTCGTCCCCTTTCCCTCATTTTGATATGCACTTCTGTTCTACCCGTTATGGTTTTCGTCTCCGTTCCCCCATTTTGATATGCACTTCTGTTCCACCCGTTATGGTTTTCGTCACTGTTCCCTCATTTTGATATGCACTTCCTTTCCACCCGTCACGGTTTTCGTCCCTTTTCCCTCATTTGGATATGCACTTCCTTTCCACCCAACATGGTTTTCGTCCCCTTTCCCTCATTTTGATATGCACTTCCTTTCCACCCAACATGGTTTTCGTCTCTTTTTCCCTCATTTTGATATACGCTTCTTTTCCACCCGTCATGGTTTTCGTCCCCTTTCCCTCATTTTGATATGTACTTCTTTTCCACCCGTTTTGATTTTCGCCCCCTTTCCGTCATTTTGATATGCACTTCATTTCCACCCGTTATTGTTTTCACCACCTTTCCCTCATTTTGATATGTACTTCCTTTCCCCCCGTTATTGTTTTCGTCCCCTTTCCCTCATTTTGATATGCACTTCCTTTCCACCCGTTATGCTTTCCGTCCCCTTTCCCTCATTTTGATATGCATTTCCTTTCCACCCGTCATGGTTTTCGTCCCCTTTCCCTCATTTTGATATGTACTCCTTTTCCACCTATTTGATTTTCGCCCCCTTTCCCTCATTTTGATATGTGCTTCCTTTTCACCCGTTTTGATTTCCGTCTACATTCTCTCATTTTGATATGCACTTCTTTTCAACCCGTTATAATTTCCGTCCCCTTTCTTTCATTTTTCTTTTCCTCTCGTTTTGATTTTCGTTCCCTTTTCCTTTGTGTTGATTTTTTCTTCTTTTTCCTCATTTTTATTTATGTCTCCTTCTCCCCGTTTTAATTTACCCCCGCTTTTCCTTTCTTAATTTATGACCATTTTTGATTTCGCCCACTTTCTATTGTTTCGAATTCCGCCCCCTTTCTTTTATTTTGATTTTAACCCCCTGTTTTGATAAACGTTTCCTTTCCTCTCCTTTTTTTTTACTTTCTTTTGATTTCCATCCCTTTTACTTTTCTTACATCTTTTTTTTAACCTTTTCTTTCCATTCACTTTTTATGCTTCATCGATGATGTCATCGCCCACGCCATCGTTTTTATCGTCTATTTCGTCTATTTTTTTGGAGCAGCTGTCCTTTTCTCTCGTCTTTTCTTTTCTCCTGTTTCTTCATTGAATTTTTTTTTACAAGTCAATCCAGTAACACGTTTAGACTGGTCACAAAACTGCAAATACACAAACTCGCATAATTACATAGACAGCCTCACTTTCATCCATTCGTCAGACGAAAATATATCTCCACGCAGGTCTGCTTGATAGATGTATTTACTTTCGCTGTCTCGTACTGTTGGAAATAAATATAAACTTTTAAATAACAACGCCTAGATAGATGAACGTAGAAAAACGTGTTTTGAAATTACACACACACACACACATACACACACACTCTCTCTATCTCAATGTCTTTTTGTAGCTTATTTCCTTATACAACTGTAATTGTCCGTGCAGATTTGTGCTTACTCGAAGAAATGGATCGAATCGAAGAGAATCTGAATGGAATGGCTGTTTTTTTCTTCAATAAAAAAATGAAATTTCACTCATATAAGGCTCGAGGGTTACAGTTAAAATGGTTATGCGAAAGAGGAAGTAGTTTGAAATGATGATTATGAGAATAAGGATGATAAATAATGATTGATAATTAACTTGAAGAATAGCAACCTCACAGGAGTCTAATTCTAGGGGTCGGCTACCTTTTGCTAACTATGTGCCGACTTAGGGTTTTAATATCATTCAGTGTGCCAACAGCATACGTATTTTTATACAAGTCAAGATCAATATACCTGTTCTACAATATATTTTATATAGTAATATATAGTATATATATTTTAGTATATATTACAATTGAAAAAGCTAATATCTTCTTTGTGTAATAGTAGATATTGTTTCGGATTTCATGATGTCATTTGCGGCCGCGTGCCATTGGAAATTGCTTGGCGTGCCACGTGTGGCACGTGTGCCGTAGGTTGCCGACTCTTGGATACCATAAAGTGACAGTTCTTGAGAAAAGCTGGATGGAACTTTCTCTCCTTACATTTGGAATATGGAGAAAATGAGAGTTATTCGACTCCGTGGAAATAACACAGCGTGGCTTAGAAGTAAAGATCTGAAGTGCGGGAAATAAAGAATAGGTCTCATCTAAATATTTGCTATAGCAATAGAGTATTGAGGGGCTTGCGACGTTTCATCTGTGGGAAACAGACTACAGATTGGAGAATAAGTCTTCTCCGACAAGACAGCGTAAATAATTTTACTGGAGAGGGAAGATTGAGCAACACAAGTTTATTTTCGGTCGAATCTGACACTTGTAACAATAAAGCATGGCAGAAATTGCCAGTTAATTTCCGGAGCCATAGTATGAACTAGCCGACCAATTATCATATTTGCGTCCTGGGTAAGACGATAAACTACATCCAACACAAGGCCTCTGATCAGGAGGTTTTGAGGAGCGTGGAACCACCTCTTAATTGCTGGTGTTCCCAGGTCTACCCTGACCCGGAGTCTCAACTATGGGCAAATAGTTAACTGGGGTCAAAATACTATGAAAGTATAAAAATAGGTTTTAATACCAGCAATACATTTTTGGTAAAATAAGATATATTAGCAGCAATACATTTTTGAAAAAAATTATTGCCAGCAATAAAAATCTTGTCAGAATTAAATAACCCATTGAGGTTTTAATATGCCGTAAAACAAAACAAAACAAACCAAACCAAATATCATATTTAACAATGGATCGCATATGATTTTTACTTGTGATCTGGAGTGAATCGATACCCAACAGATGTTCAAATTCTTGATATAGGGCAAAGTTGTGGAAACTTTTAATGGAACTGGGCACAGAAAATTCACTACTCGGTGATTTTCTAAGCATAACTTAGATGTGGCACAAGGCCAAAAGAATGCAGCACACAGTGAGGATGGATCTTACTCATACTACTTAGACGTAATTACTCTAGCGAGACAAGCTTGATAACCATTACGCCACGTCAAGGTGCCCCAGACTCAAATCAAAAATCAAATTATTTGCCGTAAAATCATGTTTCGAACGATATAAAAAAGTGTGTATGAAGGTTTATCACTGAATTCCTCCGCGAGGAAAACATTGTACCCAATGACATTCATTAACCTTTGCTGAACGTTTACGGTGACCAAATACTGAATATGAGCAGAGTTAGTTGTAGATTTTAACAAAGACTATCATGCAGGTTCTTGTACATTGCAGAAGAAAATGGTGATGTCTTTGTAGAAAACAGAGTTTTGTAATTGAAAACTGATCTGACCAACGATAGTTTTGTGTTTGCCGTATCTGTTGGAGATCCATGGAATAAACACGAATCATTATTTTCGGAATATCCCGTGTGTAATATCAATATTCTATGTAAATATACTATTCAGTTGCTCTCTTTTATGCAAATTTCGTTGAAAACGACGAACAAGTTGTGATGGTTGAGTTTTTTTTTTAATATAATTTCTCATGTGTTCGTATAATTTTTTTCTTTCAGGACAAAAATTATATAAAAATTGTCCGAATGTTTTTTAAGCTCTTTCAGCTATAGTTTTAGTCATTATCCAGGATGAACTTTATTTAACTTTTAACAGAATATATGCATTGTCTTATGTATGTATGTAGAGTTATAGGTATGTTTGATTTTGAAAACATTCCAAATAAAACATACCTATAACTCTAGGTACATACATAAAACAATGCATACATTCAGTTTAAATTAAAATAAAGTTCATCTTTGATAGTTACTAAAATGAATAAAGTTCAGAGTGCATCATAAACTTCAATATATATATATATATATATATATATATATATATATATATATATATATATATATAAAATTTCCAAGACGAAAATAAATGTATTGCAAACCGAAAGTGTGCTATTTATTTATTAACGGTACAATTTTGGAATTTACCTGAAATTTACCTGAAATGAAAACAATATGATGATGAAGGAGCGAATTTCTTCGAAAGTACTTGCAACAGAACATCTAATCCATCGCATAATTTTAAACATAAGGATCGCGTCATTCAGAGAGTTCTTAGTAAGTTCACACACACACACACACATATATATATATATATATATAAATCCAAGTGTACAAATCTGTCGTTTTGTCAACTCTTTTGTATGGCTATGAAACTTGGGCACCTTATAGATGATACATTAATCGATTAGATGTCTTCCATAAAGACTGTCTCCGTACAATCTGTGGACCAGCGTTTCATGATCGAGTGTCTAATGCCGACCTTTTTAAGAAATGCAGCATTGGTACCATCGAGACCTTCATAGTGCAATGTGGCAAGGATGAGTGATGATCGTACACCAAAAGTTTTTTCTACGGTCAATTCCATAGTGGTCATAGAAAAGTTGGTAGACCTTGGCTCAAGTATAAACATAAACTGAAGAGCAACTTTTCTTGCGTCAAGATTCCATTCAAGAACTTTGAAGAAGTAGCTATGAAGAGATCAGAGTATCGTTCCAGCTGCCATGTAGGAATAAAGCACCTTTAAGCAGTAAGCATCATTCGACTGCTTGAAACACGAAAGTGAAATAAAACAGTTAACAATGTTCCTGCTGAACTTGCATGCAATATTTTCTCTTGTACTGTGTGTGGTCATATGTGAAATTCTCGAGCCGACCTCTAAAACCATGCTTGTCATAGGCATGCAAATAATTAGAAGGTGGTCAGTAAGTAATTCATCGAGTCTGAAAGAAACCTCAACAGAATGCAGAAAGCAGTGGACGGCCGTTTCGTCCTATATTTGGGACTCATCAGCAGTGCGCATCCACTGAAACCCTGACAGTTAGGTTGTCAAGCAAACATCATACCAACTGTTCCACCGGGCCTTGCAAATCAGACTCAATATAGCGCCGCTAGCTCACATATTCCGTGGTGAAACTCTTACTGAGTTCTCTGTAACCCAGGACTGAGCCCCTGGAACTACGACTACTTTCACCAAGCCGCTCACACTAGAGCATTAGAAGCCAGTTCAAATGGACATGATAGAATATCATATATATATATATATATATATATATATATATATATATATATATATATATATATATATATATATATATATATATATATATATATATATATATATATATATATATATATATATATATATATATATATATATATATATATATATATATATATATATATATATGTTAAAAATAAAGTCCTTTTAATGAAAGACGTGAAAAATATTGTATTTAACTGGGTTGTTTCTTTAGCATAATGATTTTTTTTGAGTATTTTGACTTATTCATTACAGGGAGTGTCGTAAAATATTTTATTATTATCTGCTAATATCTGTTTTATGTTCATAGTCGTATTTTGGTTGTTTTTAGTTTGGTTTGGTTTGTTTTACGGACTTATCAACCTCAATGGGTTATTTAATGCCGACAAAATTTTTATTTTTGGTAATCTTTTTTTTTTTCCCCCAGAAATCTATTTCTGATATTTTTCATTTTTTCTACAAAAAAAAAACTTTTTCTGGTAATATTTTTTTTCTTCAAATATGTATCGCGGTTAATACTTGTTTTTCAAAAAAATATTGCTGGTAATAATTTTTTTACAGACTATTTCTGGTATTTTTTTCCACTTTCATAGAGTTTTGACCCCAGTTTGGTTTGATTTGTTTTACGACAGATCAATCTCAATGGATTATTTAATGCCGACATTTTTTTTATTGCTGGTAATATTATTTTTTTCGAAATGTATTTTTGGTAATATTTTCTTCTTCAAATATTTATTTCTGGGAATATTTTTTCTTCAAAAAAATGTATAGCTGGTAATATTTTTTTCCCAAAAATGTATAGCTGTTTGTATTGCTGGTAATTTTCTTTTTTTTTTTCTTTTTTAAGTATTGCTGATAATAATTTGTTTTTGGTTTGGTTTGTTTTACGGCATATCAACCTCAATGTGTTATTTAATGCCGACAAATTTTTTATTGCTGTAATTTTTTTTTCAAAAAAATGTATTGCTGGTAATATATTTTTTCTTTTTTCCAAAATGTATTGCTGGTAATATTTTGTTTTTCAAAAATGTCTTGCTAATAATAATTTTTTACAAAGTATTTCTGGTATTAAAACCTATTTTTACACTTTCATAGTGTTTTGACACAAGTTTGTGTGTTAACTATTTGCCCATAGCTGGGACCTTAACGGGTGCTACCACCCTGGGTCAGGGTGGACCTGGGAACACCAGCAATTAAGAGGTGGTTCCACGCTCCTCAAAACCTCTTGATCAGAGGCCTTGCTGTTGGACGTAGTTTATCGTCTTACCCAGGACGGGGTTGTTTTTGGTGTGCTGGTCAGCATGTTTACGAATTGCACTATGTTTAAGTACCAAGTTAGCCTATGAGAAAATATGGTCGCTCTGTAACCTATGCAACAACTTATTCTTTTTAGCGTTAGATATGCAATATCTGAAACGAATGGAGTAATCATAAACAATATTTTTCTTTACATCAGAGCAATTTTAGAAATCTGGTGTTATTGGTAATGATATGGTTAAATGCCTTAAACGTTTTGCAATATCTTATGCATTTATTGCAATAATTTATATATAACCGCGAATTATATCTTTTAATAGCTTTTTCATCTTGTTTATAGTCAGGATGAATTTGTTTACAATGGGACAGGCTAATGAGGGTTTTTTTTATTTTTGTTTATATCAGGACTGGTTTTAATTTTTTTTTACCAAATTCGTTTCAGTTAATTTTATTAGATTTTCGACGGCATAGCTTGAGAAACTATTGTTAATAAATATTTTATGTTACACAAGTCTTTATAAAATAATGAGTGTGACTCCATCCTAGTTATTCATATATGTTTCTTTATAACACTTACTTTATATCTGTGAGAACAGTCACCTTTTGAGTCGACAAGGTTTTTACTTGTGACTTTCTTTAATTTATTAATGAAGTAATAAAATTAGAGTCTACTAAATCAGCGGTTACCAACCTTTTGAACTTCATGGACCACTAAATGTAGAATTTTAAATATGCCGGACCACTAATATGAATTTAGAAAAGAAAGGTAAATACAGTTTTTTTGAAAAAAAATTACAGCAATAAAAATCATATATAATCATTAAATAACCCATTGAGGTTGATATGCCGTAAAACAAACCAAACCAAAACCAAATTATTATCAGCAATACTTAAAAAAAAAAGAAAAGAAAATTACCAGCAATACAAACAGCTATACATTTTTGGGAAAAAAATATTACCATCTGTACATTTTTTTGAAGGAAAAATATTCCCAGAAATAAATATTTGAAGAAGAAAATATTACCAAAAATACATATCGAAAAAAAAAATTTTACCAGCAGTAAAAAATGTCGGCATTAAATAACCCATTGAGATTGATCTGTCGTAAAAAAAACCCAAACCAAACTGGTGTCAAAACTCTATGAAAGTTGAAAAATACCAGAAATAGTCTGTAAAAAAATTATTACCAACAATAAATTTTTGAAATGTGTTATTTCATGGCGACAAAACTTTTACTGTTGGTAATCGTTTTTTTGCTCAAAAATCTATTTCTGTTAATATTTTTTTCTTAAAAAAAAAAAAATCTATTTCTGGTAATATTTTTTTCTTAAAAAAAAATCTATTTCTGGTAATATTTTTTCCTTAAAAAAAATCTATTTCTAGTAATATTTTTTTTTCTTCAAATATGTATCGCGGGTAATATTTTTTCAAAAATGTATAGCTGGTAATATTTTATTTTATTGATATGAAATGCACCCATTAAATGTAACAAAGTTATAATGTAATTATTTAAATAAAACAAATTGAAAATGTGAAGTTTATTCAAGTTTTACAAATCTTTAGTATGATATTTGTTCCATTTTCTCTTATGGCGATTTGTATTTTCAACGTTCACTAAATTTTTTTTTTTTAATATTTTACAAAATTAGCTTTCGAGTACGAATACTTATGAATTTGTGTCTGGTGCGTAAATCGAATCTTGAAGATCCAACTATTACTCCGTTGCTAGGCCAGGTTCATAGAAAATTATACTAGTAAACCATCCAGTAACTAGTTATCAACAGTAATGGTAAGAAATTATTCAGTAACAAGTATTGAACATGACTTTACAAGTCATGTTAAGTTATACTATGGCTGGATGATGTCATATTTGTGTACTAGTGTTTATTTCGAGATTACATAAGGTCTTCAACATATATACCATCCATAATACTTTTTTTTACTCGTCAATTTTTAATCTGAAGCTTCATAAAAATTGAAATAATGTACCAATTTTTCTACGGACGATCAAAAATTTTGCACAGAGCACCAGTGGTTCCTGGACCACCAGAGGTTCCTGGACCACCAGTGGTTCATAGACCACCAGTGGTTCATGGACCACCAATGGTTCGTGCACCACCAGTGGTTCATGGACCACCGGTTGGCGACTACTGTACTAAACTGTTGAGTAAAGTGTTTCGATTATCAAATCGTTAAGTAAATTTTAGAGCAGTTTCCTTCGACGGTTTCTTTTATTCTTATAGCCTAAGTTTTTGCTTAATATAAATGTGTCATCAATACATTGGAGGTATATCATATCTTCAACAAAGATTTTTTAAGATTTTATTTTCAAAGTGAGACAAAGTTAGAGCAAATAGGACCGGCAGGCAACCCCATTGTTACATCTTCCGTTTGTGCAATTGTTAACCTCTTTTATCTGCCTTCTGTCGTCAGAATCGTCGAAAATGAATTCGACTGAAAAGATCAGCGTAGAGATAGATGATGAATGACCGGGTTGCAAAAAGTAAAATATCCTTCCTTTGCGACCCTCTTAGTAATAACAAACAGGAACAATATCAACTTGTTTCGCTGTCGGCCAAAAAAGCTCTCGAGTACGAGGTGAAGGGATTTTTATAACATACCTCTGCCCTCACCTCTTCCGCCAATCCAAATGGAAGGCTACTAAAGCGGAGGATGGGACGTTAGGACTCCACGGTCGACATCGCCGATCCACACACGTAAGTCTATTCTTCATTATTTCCGACAGAATGTAGGAGATCATGGATATCCACAAATTTCTATCTTTTGTTGCTCAAAGCAACTCCAGTTTTCTCTTCATCACTTACCAACTACATCCGCGCGTAAAAGAAGCTATAAAAGAAGCCAGAGAGAGAGAGAGAGAGAGAGAGAGAGAGAGAGAGAGAGAGAGAGAGAGAGTTCCCACACGCAGACTAACCATAGAGGCTATCGGAGAGCACGGCTGACTGTCCGTCCGACCATTAGGCTGTGAAAACGACTTCCTTCAAACGCAGAAAGAGTCAGACTCCACTATCAAAGCGACAAACTTATAACCAACAATTGACACGCTCTCATTTCATACCTCGTAAACCGTACATTCGAACGCTACGCTATACGACTTACCAGAGGTACTTTAATATCCTGTAAATGAAAATAAATCGTTGGTTATTTCTCCAAACCAGTGTTTAATTTGTTTCTTTATTCCAACCAACTTCCACCCCGGATCAACTTCAACACTCTTTTCTTTTTTTTCTGTTGAGAGTTTCCTGCTTCTCCGTACTTTTCTTGGCATTTGGAATGTATCTTTGCTATTCCAATACACGTTCGGGTTTCGGTGTCACATATTCCGCCCGCTGTAAAAACACTTCTTAGATATTTAAACTTCTGTATATGTTTGATGTTGTCATTTCTATTCGTAGATCAGCCGGGGTACTCGTAACTTTGTAGTTTGACGGATTCGATTTTGGCAATAATAGATGTGATAAGTTTATTTGTTGTGTCTTCAAGAGGCTAGATACTAGTTTGTTTTTTTTTAAACTCAGTACTTTTTTGTCAAGAACAGGGTCTGTTTTGAGGTGTAATAGATTCTATTTTAAATCACAAATTAAAATATTCTTAATATTTCTAAAGTTTGCCTTAACCCTTTGAGTCCTGCGTTCCTGAACAATTTGAACCCTTCTGCCTGAGCTCCTGAGTCAAAATTCGTAAATAATTGGTATGTAATGTTTCACGTTAGATATAAAATAGTTACCAGTGTTTATCCACCATTCAACCGGTGGATGGGCATTAAATCATTTTTCTCTACCACCGTTCAACCGGTGGCTGGGCATTAAGTCATTTTTCTCTTCAATCGGTAAAGCGGTAGTCAGGGTTCAAAGTTAATGTTTTGGTTAAAACTAGTGTTCGTTTCATATAGTTATATTTATATTTTATAATTTCATCTTTAATAAAGGTTCATAATCTTGGGTGAGTTGTGAAGTATTTGCAGGTATGTATCTTAATGGTTTTAATAAAGACCTGAGAGCTATAAATCATTGTAAAAAAAACAAACAAAAAACATCTAATGTAATCATTGCCAATAACACGGGTTCCTAAAAATAACCTTCATGTAAAAACAATATTGCTTATGAATTCTCCTGTCCTTTCAGATAATGTGTATCCAACACAAAATACCTATTTTGCTTACATAACGACGACACTTTCTCGTAGATTAACTTGTTACTTAAAGAAATTTAGTGCTATTCTTTCACATATAGACCATAACATAAAAAACAACCAAAATATGACTATTAACATAAGATAAATATTAGAAGATAATAAAATACTGTTCAGCACTGATTATAAAGAAAAGATCAGAACACACATAGAAACTATTATATAAAAGCAACAGCCCACTTAAGAAAAATATGTTTTATCACAGACATTTTAAAATGTGCTTAAAAAATTAATAGGTGTTGTCAAGTTTCTTGACAGATACATAATTATTTTTTTTAAAAACTTATACCAATCACTTGGATACGATAGAGTTATACTTAGAAAAGTAAGATGTCAGGATGAAGCTAATAAAATGTTTTATCTATGAAACTCATAAAATTAACACTCCTTATAATGATAGTACTCGAACAAATACATTTTAAATTTGGACTATTTCTCCGGATGACAGATAGACGAATAAAATTTAATAGGAAAAATAAACAAACAAACCATTTTAGTGAATTTTAATAAAACCTGTTTTATATATATATAGGATTGGTTTATACGGAATAAATTCCAATAATCAACAATTACTATTCTTAAAAGAGTGCTCAATACAGAGTAGAGCAAATATAATTATTAATTTAAAAATTATAACATAAATTTGTTATAAAATCACTACAAAAATAGTCATTTTGTTTCAACACTTCTGGTGTCTTATCAAGTGATGATGTTGAATGTAGAATAAAGGGTTTTAAAAGACCTTTAGGTAACAGAAGCCATTGGTTTATATCAACGGCTTCCCATACTACATATTTCTCCAATTCACTCTCGTGTGGTCATGTGTGACGTCATGAGATGCGGTGCGATTTTCGCTTCTAGCGTCTTATATGCACGTGTTTATCGTTGCTTAGAAATCATCTATGTAAACAATGAGAGACTATCATCACTGTCTTGTCCGTATATTTCTTAATATGTTGTAATTGACCTCTTTGATAATGGCTTATGTAAGTCGAAAGCTTAGATTGTATTAAAAAAATATGGATCAATATTATGAATTTCTTTCTTCGTTCAACGATAATGTTATTAAACTTATCAGACGTTATGAAAAAAATTTACATAAAATAAATAGACAACACTTGTCTATATTATTTAATGAAACGTGTGTATGAATGAAAAGTTACTGCCTAAATACAAACACAATATATATATATATATATATATATATATATATATATATATATATATGTATATATATATATAATATATATATCATATATATATATATATAATAGATCTATCTATACATATATCTATATATATATTAATATATATTAATATATATTAATATATATATATATATATATAATATAGATTGATATATCTTATTGTAATTATATATATTAATAATTATATATATTATATATATTTTATTATATATAATATTTATTATATATATATATATATATATAATAATATATTATATTATATAATATATTATATATATAATTTATATATATATTATATATATAAATATTATAATTATATATATTAAGATATATATCTAATATATAATAGATCTCTATATATATCTAATATATAATATATATATAGTGAGATAAATAATAGCTAAATAATATATATATATATAGCTAATATATAAATAATATATATATATATATAAATATATATATATATATATATATATATATATATATATATATATATATATATATATATGAATGGATTCTCGTGTCCTTTGGGAAATTGTATCTCTAATACTATTACTCAACAAGTAACATTAGATTCTTAAATTGCCTACACATGTATCAAATTTTCGATAGATGCATTTCCGTTGGACCGTTGTAGGTGACATCACTTTCAAACGACTTCGGTTCTACTTCTAGCTATCTAAAAACGCCGGAAATAAAGTCAAATAAATCTTGCTTACAACAGAAATCCCTCCCAGTTCTTTATAATGACTATGATTGTCAAAACTAATCAACGGCTTAGTGGTAGAATCCCCCGACTGATGCCAATTCAGTCGTGTTTCGATCCTAGCTTGGTGAGCTATGATGCAGCGAAAAAAGGCTGTCTGTGGATGACTATAAAACAAAGCATAATATTTTTTCTAAATAAATCCACATTACAACCAAAAACGTTTGCGGCTCTCTCTTCTCTTCTCAAAAAATATATATATTTTTTAAAATATATATATATATATATATATATATATATATATATATATATATATATATATATATTTATACTTTATGTACCTCCACTAATTCGGTATAAATGTCGATACCTAATATTTAAAATAAATGAGTTTTAAAAAATCTCTCAAAATAAAATATATATTTGAGAAATATTAGCTGAAGTGTAATTTTAATTAAGCCGATTTAAAAAAAAATTACTTCCTTTAAGTTCAAAATAACAGCGAAATGAATTTTTAAAACAAACAGTAACGCGATTAATTGCCTATCGTCACCTCGTAAATAACTTAACGAGTATTGACAAGTTCATTGTTGTTGTATGGTGACTTTATCTGTTAAAACATAATTTAAGAAAATGGTGGCCCGTTACGTATACATAATTTTTTTTAAAATTTCAACAATATTGGGGTACAACTACTTTTAATGTGTCTTTCAATTTTTGATTCTTATGCAGTTTTCACTTAATAACAATATTAGCTAAACTCCTTCAAGTAATGCAGAATTTTAAATGATTTAAATTATTTAATTAAAAAATAAATGAAAACAATTCTTGTAAAAATTAATTATTCATCGAAATACGATAGGCAATTAATTTCCTAAGACAATAGTGTCCTTAATAAATTTTATTTATAAAAGCAATTAAAGACTTTTTAAAATTAAATAATGTCATAGTTTGATTGCATTGTTTATTTTACGATTTAGATCAGATGTTTGGTCACTGGGAGTTCAGTTAAAAAAAAAAATATTATGATTTAAATTT